CATCTTTTATGATAACAAGAATTCTAAGGCTCTCTACCTAGAGCAAGAATTTTCGCAAACTCATATGGAGCAATTCTCTGATGCTTCCTCCTACTGTCAGCATCTCAAATCTCTCTCTGATCAACTCGCTAATGTTGGTGCCCCTGTATCGAATGAACGTTTAGTTCTTCAACTCATTTCGGGACTAACCGATGCATATGCTACTGTGGGATCTCAAATTCGTCATGCTGATTCACTTCCTCAGTTCTATAAAGCTCGTTCCATGATCATTTTGGAAGAAACAGCACTGCAGAAAAAGGTGTCAAGCTCATTCGAAAATTCATCTTTCATGGCGTCTCACAATGACGCATCAGTTAATTCATCGACATCCCGTCCTAAACGCGGTAACAACAGTAACCACAACCGTGGTGGCCGAAACAATGGCAGAGGACAGTGTGGACGAGGCCGAGGGCGAAACAATGGATGTGGCGGAGGTCGTGCTCCACAACAGCAATGGCCTTCACCATATTACCCGCATCAGCAGTGGGCTTATCCGCCATACCCAAATCAATATCAACAATGGAGCTCCCCGCCATGGCAACCATGGGCTACACCACCTTGTCCGTATCCAACAGCAAGAAATCCAAAGGAACAACCCGGCATCCTTGGTCCCAAGCCATCTCATCAAGCTTATGTCGCCAACACAGCGCCAACCTCCTCATATGCTCCAAATCAAGCTTATGTCGCCAACACAGCGCCAACCTCCTCATATGCTCCAACAGATATTCAAGCTGCCATGCATACTCTCTCACTTTCTACTCCTGATGATCAGTGGTACATGGACACCGGAGCAACCTCGCATATGACGGCCAACGGAGGTAATCTCTCGTCCTATTTCAATATGAGTAATAATATTACTGTCGGTAGTGGTCAAAATATTCTTGTAATTGGTTGTGGACATGCATCATTACCAAATTCCCTTCATTTACTAAAATTACCTAATGTTTTACATGCACCAAAACTCATAAAAAATCTTATCTCTGTTCGTAAATTTACCATAGATAATGATGTGTCGGTTGAATTTGATCCTTTTGGTTTTTCTGTGAAGGATTTTCAGACAGGAATACTGTTAATGAGATGTAACAGTTCAGGTGACCTCTATCCCATTGCCACAAGACCACCTAATAAAACCCCATCCACCTTTGCCGCAATATCCACAGAATTATGGCACAACCGTTTAGGACATCCAGGAGCTACTATCTTAAGTTCTCTACACAGAGACAACTTTCTCCAATGTAATAAGTCTCGGAACAATTACTTTTGTAATTCATGCCCTCTTGGAAAACAAATAAAATTTCCCTTTTATAGCTCTGTGTCTCGTACTTTTATGCCTTTTGATATTGTGCACAGCGACCTCTGGACTTCACCAATTCTCAGTTCAGAAGGTCATCGTTACTATGTGTTATTTCTTGACGATTACACAAATTTTTTATGGACTTTTCCAATTCATACAAAATCTCAGATTCATTCCATTTTTCTTCAATTTAGAATTCACATTGAAACACAATTTGAAAGAAAAATCAAATGTTTCCAATGTGACAATGGTAAAGAATATGATAACACTATGTTTCATAATTTTTGTAAAAAAAATGGAATGTCTTTTAGATTTTCGTGTCCTCACACCTCCTCACAAAATGGAAAAGCCGAAAGAAAAATTCGTACCATAAACAACATCATCCGTACCCTTCTCGCCCATGCCTCTTTACCTCCATCAATGTGGCATCATGAACTACACATGGCCACTTACCTACATAATATCCTTCCAAATAAAAAGCTTTCCCTTCAATCACCCACTAAATACTCTACCAAAAAGATCTGGCCTATACTCACCTTCGTGTCTTTGGATGTCTTTGCTATCCTCTCATCCCTTCATCATATAGAAATAAGTTACAAGCTCGGTCTACACCTTGTGTCTTCTTAGGATATCCCTCAAATCATAGAGGATATAAATGCTATGATTTATCTAGCCGTAAAATATTTATTTCCCGGCATGTCATTTTTGATGAAACTAAGCTTCCGTTTTCTAATCCAAATGTTCCTACAACGGTTGGTTATAATTTTTTGGATGACGACACACCCTTCCTCCCATTCCTATTCCTATAGTGCTCCCTCCTCTAACCATCAAAATCGCACTTCACCCCTAACTACACCAGTTCAAACAAACATTTACCAACCATCACCATCTTCTTTGAATTCGCCTTCGTCACCCTCCCACAATCCCACCTCACCAACCATAACATCAGCCCCATCCACAACATCACCTCTAAACCCATCATTACCAAATATCGTCTCATCCCCATCCACTACATCACTTCCGACTCCTCCACCTTCACAACAAAATCAGCCTCTCTCCCCTCAAATGACAACCAGAGCCCAACACGGTATCGTCAAACCTCGCAAACTCTTCAATCTCCATACATCAACCTCAACCTCTATATCCCCTCTACCTACAAATCCCATTGATGCATTAAATGATCAAAATTGGAAAATGGCCATGAAAGACGAATATGATGCTCTTATTGAAAATAAGACGTGGGACTTAGTTCCTCGTCCGTCTAATGCTAATGTTATTCGAAGTTTGTGGATTTTCAAGCATAAAAAGAAATCTGACGGATCTTTTGAGAGATACAAAGCTCGCCTTGTAGGTAATGGTGCAAATCAACAAACAGGTATTGATTGTGGTGACACATTCAGCCCGGTGGTCAAACCGGCTACCATTCGAACGGTTCTAAGTGTTGCTTTATCTAAATCATGGTGTCTTCATCAATTAGATGTTAAAAATGCTTTCTTGCACGGGAACCTTCATGAAACCGTATACATGCATCAATCTCCTGGATTTCGTCATTCTCAATTTCCTGATCATGTCTGTTTATTGAAGAAATCTCTATATGGTCTCAAACAAGCACCTCGCGCCTGGTACCAGCGCTTTACTGATTATGTAGCTACAATGGGCTTCTCTCACAGTATTTCTGACCACTCTCTTTTTATATATCATCATGGCAATGATATAGCTTATATTCTTTTTGTATGTGGATGACATTATTCTTACTGCATCATCTGACACTCTTAGAGAATCTATCATGGCACAATTGAGTTCCGAATTCTCCATGAAGGATCTGGGGCCTTTAAGTTATTTTCTGGGTATTTCTGTCACCAAACATCCCGAAGGCCTTTTTCTTTCTCAAAAGAAATATGCAGAAGAAATTATCGAACGAGCTGGTATGTCCTCCTGCAAACCATCCCCCACACCAGTAGACACAAAGGCGAAACTCAGTGGTTCATCCGGTAACCCTTACCATGATCCAACCGAATATCGTAGCCTTGTCGGAGCATTGCAATACTTAACATTCACTCGACCAGACATCTCATATGCAGTTCAGCAGGTATGTTTATTTATGCATGATCCAAAAACTCAACACATGTCTGCCTTGAAACGCATTATTCGTTACATTAATGGTACCGTAGATCTCGGCCTTCATCTGTACCCTTCATCTATCGACAAGCTCATTTCTTACACAGACGCTGATTGGGCCGGTTGTCCTGACACAAGAAGATCTACCTCCGGCTACTGTGTTTATCTCGATGATAACTTGATCTCATGGTCCGCAAAACGCCAACATACCTTGTCTCGTTCAAGTGCTGAAGCCGAATATAGAGGCGTAGCTAATGTTGTGTCTGAATCATGTTGGTTACGCAACTTGCTCTTGAAACTATATTGTCCTGTCACAAAAGCTACTCTGGTATATTGTGACAACATCAGCGCGGTTTATCTTTCCGACAATCCTGTTCAACATCAACGCACCAAACATATCGAAATGGATATACATTTCGTGCGTGAGAAAGTTGCTTGCGGTCAAGTACGCGTTCTTCACATTCCCTCGCGTTTTCAGATTGCTGACATCTTCACAAAGGGACTTCCGTTGCAACTCTTTGATGACTTTCGTGATAGTCTCAATATTCGTTCACCTCCAGTTTCGACTACGGAGGTGTATTAGATATGTAAATATAGAAAGATTATTATTAGTATTGATTACCAATGATTATTAGAATCATAACCACATATTTGTACTGTGTATATAAATGACTATCACATGAATGAAAAGGCACGGCCTAAATTATCTTACATATCTTGTGGGGGAACCTAGTTGCTTGAAGGAGTAAGAAATAAAGTGTTGTTGCTCGATCAAATGTTAAAGCATGATTTAGCGTTATGACACAAGGAGTTTGTGAATTATTGTGGATGAAATATGTGTTAGAAGATTTGAAGATTCACTGTGAAAGCCTCGTAAAGTTGTTTTGCGATGATAAATCAGTAATTAGTATCGCACATAATCATGTTTAGCATGACAAAACGAAACACATTGAGATTGACCAACATTTCATCAAAGAAAAGTTGGATAGTAAATTTGATAATTACAACCTACATTCCTTCTCAGTATCAGTTGACACATGTGTTAACAAATTGTTTATCAACATAACGATTCAATCAATTTAGATGCAAGTTCGAAATGATTGATATTCATTTATCCATTTGAGGAAAAATATTATAATATTAATCCGTAAACATCAATTTGTAATATTAGTATGAAACTCATTAACAAAATCATATTAGATATATTTTTTCAAAATCATATTAGATATATTTTTTCCTCTATTGAATTGTAAATACAAGTTTCACATTTAATTTTCATTCTCTCCCATCTCAATCATTCAAATAATTTTCACATTTACAATTAATGAAATAAAATTAATAATTAATTAATGTTAACAGAGATCACACTATATGACAAGAGATCCTCATTTTTTTTTCTTAAGATGAGGCCTATTTTTCCATTTACACTCTCAAACTGTACACTGCTCAAAATATTACAACATGTATAAAATGCATACAGTGCTCTGCATCATATCATATGAACTCAACTCAGAATTTGGAACTTGGCCTACTCCCCACATGAAACTAGTTAGTTAGTTACTACTCCCACAGATTTGTCTTTAAACATTCTGAAACTTAATGCATTTAGCATTGCTCTTGAATACTGTCGAGATGCCATTTTCCAATCTCCTCCTGTCGTCATCATTGCCCTAAACTCCTCAAAACTTATTCGACCATCCTTCAACAAAACAAAACAAAATCAGTTAAAAGATGTTATAAAAACTGACAGTATATCTCTCCACAGTTACCAATTGAGCTAGCCTAGCAGATGCATTTGACAGATTATATATATATATATAATCTTACCTTATCCAAATCAACATCATTTAGAATGTCTCTGACCACCTGGTCGTCGGTTGAATCATCATCTGATAAGGCGTCTTTTAACTCGTCAAACTCAACATATCCGCTCTTATTCTTGTCAAAGAAATTGAATGCTTCGGTGAGATGCTCATCATTTCCAATTCTTCTCAAGTGAACACTCATTGTGATGAACTCTTCGCAATTCAAGTTGCCGTTCCCATCAGAATCTGCCTGTTGTCATAAATTAACAACCATGTTCATTTTTTCATTATAGTAACAATGCTCCTAACATAACGAAAGTTCATAGTAAGGAACTTACAGCATCTATTAATGTTTGAATATCAGGATCAGGAATAACTTGTCCAATCATTGTAAAGCCGTCTTTCAGCTCATCAAAAGTTAAGACTCCATCGCAGTCCTTATCCATCATATCAAACAGTTTTCTAAGTCCATCAATTTGTTCATCTGGTAAGTTATCAGCCACCACCTAAATAGAGAACCAAATTAACTCAGGATTCTAAAATAACAGATATTCCTGACCAGAGCCGTCTTAAGTTTTTTGAGGCAGTCAGAGACAAATCAAGGTCATGTTTAACCATAGTTTAAATGTGACAAATATTTTATGAGGTTATATTTAACCACGGTCAAATTTTGGATTTTGTGTGGTACTCCGTCTTGTACAACCTCAAAGACGGTTATCTTCCTCATTTATCAAAAAAGAGATCATGATGAAACTTACTCTAAGGACTTTCTTCTTGAATCTATTCATCAACGAGAATTGCTTGATCCTCATTCTCACATGGTCTCCAAGAGAAACATTTCTACCATGCTCCCTATGTTGTATCCAGGTATGATCTTCACACAAAGAAAACAATTAATTATTAGCACAGATTTGTCATCATGTCAATGAAATAACAGAGAAGCACCATACATACCAAGAACTTCTTGAACTGTGATTCTAGTGTATGGATTTGGATCAAGCATACGCTTAACAAGGTATTTTGCTTCTTCAGAAACTTTAGGCCAAGGATCTCTTGTGAAATCTACATTACCCCGGATAATCGCCTGCGCTATGGCTTCTTCAGTTTCTGTACTCAACAAAAACACATAAAACTTTATGAAAACTGAACTTTTAATTCAATTTTTCTTTGCAATCGCGCGCACGCACAAATACACAAGAGAATATCAAAAGGGACTGACCTGCCCAAAAGGGTGGAACACCACAAAGCAAAATATAAAGAATAACGCCCGTGCTCCAAATATCGATTTCTTGTCCATAGTTACGTCTCAAAACTTCCGGAGCCATATAATAAGGACTTCCAACAATTTCATTGAATCTATCGCCTGTCACAACCACATCATAATGTTCGCATTTTATTCTAGTTTTACAATTAAAAAAAATAGACTACAACCATACTAATAATCAGAAAATAACTTTACCAGTTACATAAAAAGTGGAAAGACCAAAATCAATTGCCTTAAGTGAAGCTGTCTCACTTGCATCTGAAAATAAGAAATTTTCAGGCTTTAAGTCCCTATGTATCACACCATGTTCATGACACACCTGCAAAATATACAAAACAAATGAGTAAAAAATTAAAAAACAAAGACAAAAAATTGAATAAAAAAAAATAAAAAATTTATTAGTACATTACCTTGCAAACTTCAAGAATGGTTTTGGCAACATTGGCGGCCGCTCTTTCTGTATAATGACCTTTAGCAACAATCCTATCGAAAAGTTCACCACCTTCACACAATTCCATAACTAGATAAACAGCATCTTTATCTTCATAAGCCTCTCTAAAAGCAACAATATTAGGATGTTGAGGCAAATGCTTCATGATCTGAACCTCCCTCCTCACATCCTGAATATCAATCTCCGTCCTGAGCTTCGTCTTTGCTATCTTCTTACACGCAAACGCCTCGCCCGTTTCTAGGTCCACGCAACGCACAGTCACGCCGAACTCTCCTCTTCCAAGCTCTTTTCCTAAGTCATATTTATCAAATATGCTGCCTGGACTTGGATTTGTTACGACGTTTAGTGGACGCGATGTCACGCTAGACCTACGCGGCGCGGGCGGGGTTGTGGGCTCGTGGTCTTGATCAGGTGCGGTTTTGTTGTGTTTGTTATTGTTGCTGTGGTGAGGATCTCTTGATCTCTTTCGGATGCCTTTGCCATGTGTTGATACGCAACTCCCCATGGATGAATACTCGGAGTTTGTTTATGAATATTAATAAATTTATGAATTAATAAAATGTATGAATTGAATTGGATTGGGTTGAATTGAATTGGATTGGATTATATACAAAAATATATATATGGATTTTTGTATGTATATAATCCAATGCAATGCAATGCAATTAATGCAAGGTGAATTTGAGTTTAACAATGATGAATATGACTATTATTATTATAATTCTATTATGATGTTGTTGAGTTACCCAATCTCCATGGGAAGAAGAAGAAGGAACGTAAAGGGAGAATGGGAACCAGCTAATCTAAAAAAAAAATGGAGAGGGAGAGAATGAGAATAAAAGGATGAATGCTATATTTGGTTGAGATTAACGTGTTGCGCTGGAACATGCAAACTCATAGTTGGTCCCGCCATTTTCTTAGGACTTTTTCGTCCGTTCATATTACTATTACATTTCCTTTTTCTGTTACTGTTTTATTTTATGACAACTAATTTGTGCTAATCAGTTTAAATACATCATACTTATATGATCAATTTCTCATCTATCTCAGCTAAATTATTCTCTGTAATTGAATCTAAGATTAAAATTATCAGCAATTTTATACTTTATAAACAAGAGAATAATGTACTTGTGCTTTTAGTTTGTTTACACTAGTTTGTAATAAAAGAGGGTTTCATAAGTTGGAAAGCCAAGATAAGACTTGCCAATGATACGTATTGTTTTGTTAAAGTGATACGTTTTTGGTGGCTTCTTACATTTTCTTATGGTTTAGAATTTTTTATTGAATAATTATTTTATATAAATATATATGTGCACACTTATGAAAATACTATTTTAGAGTAAAAAATAATCTTCTTTTTTTAACGGATAAACTATTTCTATGATAAAAAATATTAACGTTTAAATATTTCTATGCAAATTTGTAATTTATTTTTTTTAAAAATTATTTACAAATTTTCAATTTATAAATATAAAATAAAAAACTTGTTTAAATTATTACATACAAAATACACCAAAATATAGCTACTAATGATCAAATTAATGCACCAAATTAAAGGATGAATCTGCATACAAATTTTCAACACATGTTAATATAATTATATACTTTCGTACACATTTATAAGTAATAAAAATAGTTTCCCGGCTATTAAGAAATTCAATCAAATCTAATTAATTTTTTAAATTTTGATAAAAATATTAATTAAATTTACTATAATATTCTCTTTATATTTTGATAAAAATATTAATTAAATTTACTATAATATCCTCTTTATTAAATTTAATAGAATGTTGGAAAATAAAATAGAAGGATATATTAAGAATTAGTAAGAATTACCGTACTAAATGATTTAGTAATAATTGATTTTGCTTGATCAGAATTAAAGTATTTTTATTGATCAGAATTACAGACAAATTTTTTTATTAATATGATAAAATTAAAATATTCGGAATATCCATATCTCTGAATCTGCAATGTTAACAGCGTCAAAGTCATTGATTAAATATGTATTAAATCAAAACTAATTTGTCAATATACATTAAAAAAACACAACACTAAAACAGAAAAATAAAATAACGTCACAATAAAACGATGAACTATACAACATCGCACTAAAATAATAGTCATAAATACATATGAGAAATCACTTTATTGAATGAAAAGAAGAAAAAAAATTAAAAATATAATTTTAAATTAAAAAAATTAATCCTAAAATCACTCATTTCCAGTGGATGAAGAAAAAGTTGAAGAAAGACCGGTGACGGCCTCCGTGGTGAGTTTTATAAAATTTATAAAGAATTTATTTTAAATAAAATTATTTTAAATAAGTTTTTATAAAAGATTGTTTTAAATATTTCATTCTCTTACTATAATTTTTTTTCAAATATAAAACTTCAAAAAATCATTTAAATTTCAATTTAATTAACCTTTTATAATAAATATATTTGTTATAAAATTATGTAAATTTATTAATAATTTAATCTTCAATTATAATATACATTTATATTATATTAATTTATGTCAAAATCGGTCAATTTATTATACAAAAATAAATTAAAAAAACTTATTTAAAAAAATCTTAAAAAACATTTTTAAATATAAAAAAAAACAAATAAATCTAAAACGGCAAAGTTCAAATAGTTGTTGGAATCCATTTGTTTTATTCAATATAAGAGTAGTGAGTGTGTTGAAAATGTTTAAAAAGTGTTTACCCACAGGCAAAACATTACTAAATAGCTAGCATATTGTGAAGAAAGCAACAATATAGTTCGCAAATGTTGTTACAAATGATATGGTATACAATTCATTTCTTTCCTTGTCATGATTTTTAAAAATATAACCAAACCATGAGGTTATTTATATACACAAATATCTCTAGGATTCTCATAGAAGCTCCCAACGACAAACCGAAATAAACAAGGTGCAAACCAAACAATATTCGTGTTCATCTCCAGCATTATAATGTTACAACATTCAGTTACAAAAACCTGTCACAGAAACCCACAGAATAGTACAACATCAATTTCAGCTAGGGCAAGGAAGGCAATCTTTATTCCATGCCTTAATCCCTTCATCCTCTTCACATATTAGAGCCACCGTATGAATAATAAACGTGTAATAGCCCTGTATCAGCCTTCAAGGTGGCGGCCACAGCACAGCAAGTGTTTCTAAAAGAGAACCTAAATTTTCATCGCCGTTGATTGCAAATCTGGCATGTGGTGGCAGATTTGATATTCATAGAGGAACAATGGTCGCAGCTCCAGTGACTATCATCAGCCGTTCTGCTGGTTCGCAAAGCTGCCTTTCCTCTGCCACCTCTCCCCTTGCTGCTCCCTGCTGCATTTTTTGAGCTCGTTGCTTTGCTGAAGGTAGCTCCATTACCGTCCACATCAGCTAAACCATTCTCTAATGCCCTCACTAAATTCTCGAAGTAGTTTTTAGTCACACTACAAAAACATACATATAAAAAAAAAACAAAAATTAGAATATATGGACAAAACAAGAGCAAAATATGTTTTAAGAAACTAGAAGAAATACAAACCTAGTCAATCCAGCTAACTTTGTACGAAAGTCGTTGAATTCTTTAGATGGGCCTTCGGCACTGAGAAATTGCTGTAGTTCTTTTTCAGCACATTGATGAAGTCTCTCTAGACCAGATTCTGCTTCACCTGAAAGCAAATTATAGTTGAGTATTAATAATGGGGAAACCGCCAAAAAGTTGCGCAACACATTTCTAATTAAACTTAAGTTGAAAATTTAAACCTTGCAAGTACTCAAAGAACGGTTTTTTTGCACGCTCATGCTCAGGTAAATAGTATCCATAAGCATACGTCCATTTCAGCACTCTTCTACACTCAACTATCTGGAACAACAAAAAAATAAATATTGATTACAAAGCCTTCTATTTCACCTTGAAATGAACTTAAGCAATTGTGGTTGCTGCCTTGACAATGAAAACCAACATAAAGACTATAAATATAAAGTCTCAAGTGAAATGACCAGCTTCAGGAAATAGTTCAATGAATAACAGCAGCATTAGAAACTGTCCCCCGGGGGAAGAACTGGTCTACTCTTACAACCAAAAAACACATCAAAACTTAATGCATTACAAAGGAAACTGAACATAATCATTTACCTGCAACCAGGCCTCGGTAATGAACTTAAGCTGTGACTCAGGTTGGCACTGTGTGTCACTAAGCTTCTCAATCTGTGACCAAAAAGGGAAGGAAAAAAAAGAAAGACAGAAATATGAGGATTAACAAAACAAACAACTATATCATCCCTAGAAGCATAAACAATACATTATACAAAAAGTAACAAAATCTAACTACTTTTATCAGGGAAAATAAGCTACTATTTTAGAAATGGCATGTTCATGAAAAGGTCGAGATGGCTACTTACATGAACAGTTTGCATCTGATGTAGGTCGGCAAGAGCTTTCTGCCTTGACTGAAACAAGAAAAAGCATATTGCACGTGTTATATCATTAAAGAATATAAGCACATAAGAAACATTCTTAAAACAGAATATTCAAGATAATTAGACAGATTCTGGGTTAAATGCATATCCAGGATAGTAACACAGAATACGGTTTATAAAATAGAATTAAGGACAAATCAGCCTCAATCAAGAGAGAAATCACTAACTTTCGGGTTAGCCTTCCATGTAAGTACACATTTTTAAAAAGTGAAAATATGAAGCATATCAAAACATTCCTTATTAGTAAATCATTCAACATTGTCAAGGACCAACTCACACAGCAGCTTTAACATTCCTAACTTACGTGCATTGACTTAAGTAACAGCTTAAGCTTTTAGGGGAGTTGTTCCTTGACGAAACTAAACTTCTTATAAAAAGAATGAGTAATGAGAATCAAACTCTTTCTCTTCTGCATTTGGGTTTGTTTTTGTTTGGAGAATTTTGAAAGAACAAAGAACATGTCTACGGTGATTTTACCATCTGCTTAACGCAGAACAAGTGTCCAACTATTTGTAATGTTTTTAATATATAAATCTGATGGTAACTTTGTTACTTAGGATATCTATAATATCATTCCTTAATTTTAGCGATTTCATTTGTGGTGCCATAAAATTTTAAGGAAAATTAAATTTTATGAAGATTACATAAACATGTGCTCTTTGAATTCTGCTAGACATAAAGAAGAAAATCAAAATTATTCACACTACCAAATAATCTGAGAACCTAAGGTAAAAGACATATTTAAGAGGAAGTAAATAGCATGGTAGTTAGATAATACCAGATGCCATGTTAATGGAGACAAAGTACATTAGTACTGATAGTTAGGAAACCTCACCCAATTAGTTGTTACTCAATTATTTAGTTAGTTAGAGGGTTAAGGTTGTAATGTATATAAATGAGAGAAAATGACAAGATGACAAGAAAGGGAGTAGAGGGAAGGTATCTCCTCAAGTGAAAGAGAATAGGGGAGATCAATTTAGTTTATGCGGGAAGATCAGTCATGGATGTTACTACGAACATTGATGA